GTTGCATGAATTTCAAAATTGGTCCCTCAATTTTATTTTTTTGTAAATTTTGATTTTTTTTTTTTTTTTTTTGAAAACAAGCAATATCAACATCGACTCAATGAGGAAGATCAATGATTTTAAAAATAACATGTTAAAATTTGAACACGTTCCAAATATCTTTGAAAATTTAAATTCTTGTGAGATGATGTTGAAAATGCTAAAAATGATGCAAATATGTTTAAAAATGTATTTTTTGGATTTTTATTGTTTTTATCTAGTTTTTGGATTTTTTTTTTAAAATTTTATCAGAATATGGATAAAAATTGGGGAATAACCTAGAATTGGGTTATAACAATATGAAAGAAATTATTGATTGATAAATGAATGACTTACTTAGCTATAAATAGTTGTTGCAGCTCTTGTTTGTAGGTAGGAAATAACGTGCGTAAGTTTGGCTGTGTAGTAAGCAATTTTCGTGCCTAGCACACATACTTATTTTGTAATCCTTTATTAACGAGATAAATAAAGGTTGAGAGTTCTTGTATTCTCGGTGTTCTTTGTTTTGTAGCGTGCAATCTACTTATATATTCTACTTGTCTTTTAACTTGGAAAAGTAGGGGAACCTCGTGGGTGAGGGAAACACTTAGTTTCTAGGCAAATATGAGTGCGATTAGCGAGGGAAGGCTGAGTCTAGTGAGGGACTAACTTGTCGCACGGGCTTATTCTCGAAGCAAGAGATTACCCCGTGATAATTTGGTATCAAAGCACAGTTGCATTCATAGCAGAACAACGAGACTGTTTTATGGATAGCTAATTGAAGGATTGATTAATTGAAGCTAACATTGGAGTTGTTGGCTTGAAGCCTTATGCCAGCGGGTATGGAGGCAATTTGGGAAAAATTAACTCAACTTAAAGAGTTGATAAGGCCACAAGAGGATGAAAAACAACATTCTATCAATGACAGGTTGAGGGAAGCAATTGAAAGTGTTGAACGAGCTGAAAGCTTATATATTAGTCTTATGGCAGAAATGAGTGAAAGGTTGGAAGCTGCGGAGGAAGCAATTGCAATCTTGAAAAAGGCTGTGGAAAACACTTTTATTGGTACAGGTATGTTTAAACCCAAGATTCTTGAACCGAAAGCATTTGGGGGTGTTAGAAGTTCCAAGGAATTAGAGAGTTTCTTGTAGGATATGGAACACTATTTTAGTGCTGCCAAGGTCGGGTTAGATGAACAAGTAAACATCACAGTGGTGTATCTCACAAGAGATGTTAAATTATGGTGGTGAATAAGATCTAAAAAGGACTTGAATGCTGGTAAGCCAAAAATAGAGATATGGTACACTCAGAAACACAAGTTGAAAGAGCAATTTTTGCCCAACAACACATCTTAGATTGCAAGGGAAGACTTGAAAAAGTTGCGACAGGATGGGTCGATAAGGGATTACATGAAGAAATTTAGTTTTTTAATTTTGGATATTAATAATATGTTAGAAAAGGACAGAATGTTCAATTTTCTATCAGGACTTCAGTTGTGGGAACAGTTAAAGTTGCGTAGGCAGAAAGTTTCAAATTTATCGTTGGTCATTTCGACTGTTGGGGTTAGTAGATTTTAGAGCAGGTGCTAGTAAAGGGACTGCTAAAGCATCTTGTATGAAAACTGCTAAAGCATCTTCTATTTCATACCTATTAATGGATAAGTATGAAATGAAAAAGAAGAAAAAAGGACTTGGTGGGGAGGAACCTAAACAGGCTGATGGCAATGGGAAGTCAAAAGCCAAGTGTAAGGAAAAGGTTTTGAAATCAAGTTCGGCCTGTTTTATTTGTGAGGGTAAGCACTTTATAAGGGACGACCCACTGAAAGCACAACTTAGTGTTATTTTCATGGAGAAGGAATGGCATACGTAAATCCTATACGTGTGTTTAACACTAAGTAAAAGCGTTAGTGGTAAAGGGTTAACAGAGTTGATGAGGACTTGGGCGTGGCCAAACTGCCTTGGGTAAGGCAGAATTGGAGGAGTTCTATAACTTTGACGACAGACAGATCATGGTTTGAACTCTTGGCATGAGGATGTGTCAATAAAAAGCATATTGTATAGGATTCAGCAATGATGGATAGCGGCAGCCTTGCATTGGTTGAAGTGAATTCAGTAGGAAGAGTTAATTGCTGAATAATGGACAAGTAAACACTATTTAAATTTTATACTTGCAGTTTTGGCACGCAGAATGGTTGGAGAATTAGATGTTTGTATGGGAGCTCATATGGTTCTTTGAAGGGATTTTGCGTGAATGTATGCCTTGAAAAGGGATGGATACTTAGGATGCTTGTGATTAGTGTTCGAACTTTATAAAAGCATGCTTACGAGTATTATATGTTTGATGATTAGTACTTACAAGTGCATTATATAGATGGAATGGTACGATATAGGCCTACAACTTTTATATGGAGCCTAAGATCTAAAAAGGTCATTTTCAAGTCCAAATTATTGCTACAGCAAAGAAGCTCGAATCTATCCTCCAACCCGAGCACCGTTCAGTATTTTGGCTATATCTAGAGTTTTAGAAGTCAAAATGAGCTGAATTGTTTACACAATAAAGCTGAGACAATTTTCTACAACTTTCATGTTTTCAAGTGGCTCTAATTTTGATGTTATCAATGACGTTTTGGGTAGACAAGAGAAGATAAAGATTGTCACCAAGTCAAGAGTTGGTCACCCACTCATTAATTAGACATCAAATCAATAGTTCCTAATTTTGGCCTATAAAAGGAGGTATTTGTCATGCATTTAGGCATCTTGGTTTCCAGATCAAGATCATGTTCTTGCCTTCTCTCTTTGTATTTTTTGTAATATTTATGTTTTTCTTTCATTAATATCAAGTTTATGCCTTTCATTTCCTTTCATTTACTTAGTTAACTTTTATCTTATTTGTGTTCCTATTTTGTTTATTTATTTTTCTTTCTTTCATAATATCTAGCTAAGTTTATTATGTCAAGTTCATTAATATCAAGTTTATGCGTTTCATTTCCTTTCATTTACTTAGTTAACTTTTATCTTATTTGTATTCCTATTTTGTTTATTTATTTTTCTTTCTTTCATAATGTCTAGCTAAGTTTATTATGTCAAGGTGAAAAAATTACACTAATGGTGTAAGAATAAGTATAGTGTAAACTTAATATGGACTTTAATGTTTGATACTAACATGTTTTGTATTTGTTATCTTTTTCACTCTTTAATACTTTGCTTGTTAAATGACTAATCTTGATTTATGTTATATAACACTTGGTACAACAAATGCTTGGCACTTTCATAGCCCATAATGTATGGTATAACCGACACCTGAGCTATGAAAGGAACTTGATTTGTTGTTAACACAAGTTATAATCATGAATGCTTGACGAGATTTACAAGTATTAGCATTAATCGAATAAGATGACTAATGTAATCATGTTAACAATATATAATATGATTGGAACCTCCTTTGTGTGTGGTTTCCAATTGTTATTATCATGTTAATAATTTATAATCTGATTGAAATCTCATTTGTGTGTGGTTTCTAATTGAATAATAAGAGTTTATACTATAGTTGTTTGACATACCATTAGTGGAATCTCTAACCTTTACATTTGTTGTTATCATTGTTTAATCCTTACATTAATATTCTATCTCCAAGTTCTCACCATCTTCTTCTTCTTCTCTTTCTTTATTATTATTATTATTATTATTACTATTATTA